GTTCCCTTGAAAGGAAGTTAAAGTGTGTCATATGCATCTAAGGGATTTTATAAGTCATATTTCCATAAAAAATAAGAATTCACTTTTCTAAATACAGAGGATTCACGTAATTTAGGTGAATTTATAAACAGAAAACTGGGTAAAAATAAGTCATTCCTGTAACAACTAATTGTTATGAGTAAACACAATTTCCATCAATGATGAAGATACAGCAAAAATACTACCAGTGTTTCAGGGAACACATATGATCATTGGTACAATCATAAATAATTAAGGCTGGCTGAGATCTAGCAGTAGTTACTACTCCATGAAAAGTAACAGTCTTTTTCTTTTGCTGAAAAATATATACCATGCTCAGAGATAACCTGTTCACAGTATATCAGAAATACCAGTAAGAGTCACCAATAAATATTTTATTCAACCTAAAATATAATACAAATATAGAAATAAGTTCAATCCTTTTGACATAAGGAATAGCATTTGTGTGCTATGTAGATGATGTGTCAATGTTTAGAAACAAAATTCTTTATTGGCCTATGTGAAGTCTCACACATTAATACACATTAGAAATTATTGAGCATCATATTACAACCATTTTAGTTTCTAATCTCTTTAGTAGCATATGACCTTCCACTATGTGTTGGTGAGATTGTGTTAGCTCTGTCTGTTTCCCAGGAACATTTATGACAAGTGTATTTGCTAATTCTAACTCATAAAATTACAGAGATTAAATAGGCTAATTAAACATAAGTATTTCTGGAAGATGAAAAAATAAACAGAGAAACTCATAAAATTATAGTAGGAATGTTAGTATAAATGAAATGATCTTTATTGGATGGAGCCTACCTGGGCCTGGCAAAAAGTTGCCACTAAACATAATAGTTCCATTTGAAATAACTTGTGTCATATTTTCCAAAAGTAAGGTGAAAAAAAAAAAAACACCTCACATACAATTAATTAGATAAGCTCTAGTAAGATGGATGAGAGATTGACAAATTCGGAGTGTTATATTTCTTGGCAAAGATAGTCATATGAATATTAAGAGTATGGCATTCTACTGTAAATGTAAACTCCCAGGTAATTTAGGGGAGTCAGGGAAAATAAAGTTTAAATTTCTAAAGCTGATTATGGAAAATGAACGTTACAATGGAATGCTATTTTGTTACCACTTTACCTACTTTGTATTTGTGACTATATTTCTGAGAGAATAGGGCACCATAATTCAGGAGAATATGCATACTTTCACTCAAAACTTTAGGAAAACTTGGTCAGTTTACATACAAAAACTGAACATATTCATACCCTCTAAAAGTTTCTTTGTATTGCCTTTTAGCCTTCTTCTTGGGTTTTCTTTCTGCCTTGATTTCTTTTAGAGAAAAAACTTTGCATGATATTATACTCTTAAGTTTATTCAGTGCACAATACAGCATTAAGCATAAGCACTGTGCTGTCCAATTGGTTTCTAGATGCACTCAATTTCCACCCTGAAATTTCACAGTTTTTGTTTGTTTGTTTGTTTGTTTGTTTGGGGCTTTTTTGAGGCAGAGTTTCACTATATGGCTTGGGCTGGCCTTGATTTTTACTTTGTAGCCCAGGCTAGCCTTGAACATTTGGTGATCTCCCTGTCTCCGCTTCTTAAGTGCTGGGATTGCAGGCATGTGGAAATTTCATAGTTATTGAACAACTCTCCATTTCCACATGCCTCCAGAGTCTCGCAATCACCGTCCACAATTTTCTGCTACTATCAGTATGCCTATTTTAGATGTTTCATGTAAATGGAATCAAACAATCTTTGCCTTTTTATAACTGACTTATTTTACTTGTTGAATATGTTCCAGGTTCTTGAATGTTAGTGCATATTGCAATATGGAAAAATGCCCATGAGATGTCAAAGATTTTCATTCATTTATGTATTCATGAACTTTTGGGTGTTCCCATATTTTGACTACTGTGACTCAGGCTGCAATAAACATGGAAATGTAGATATTTCTTTGGGATTTTCATTTCTCTTTCTTGGGTATATATTCAGAAGTGGATTCCTAGATCATATATTATTAGTGCCATGATTAATATTGCCAAGAAACTTTTATAGTGTTTTCTACAGTGCTTAAACACTAGATTATAATACTATCAACAGTGTGCATAGGTTGTGATTGCTTTCCAAGTTCACCAATACACACACACACACACACACACACACACACACACACACACACACACACAAATGCCTTTATTGGCAGTATTAATGAAGATGAAGCAACATCTTCCTGGTGTTTACTTTGCAGTTGCCTGATGATTTGTGATTATGAGCATATTTGAATATATTCTTGTTTGAAGAAATATCTGTTCAAGTGCTTTTTAAAATTAGATCTTTTTTCCACCCACCAAGTTGTTCAGACTCTGTGTCTATATCAAGCCATAGATATATAATATTTTTCTTATAAAAATAGTTTTAATAATTTATTTTTATAAAATATCTTTATGAGTTTGACTTCTATAAAGTTCTGATCCTCTAGCAACATTACTTATCTGGTCCTGAGATAGATCCCCAATCTCCCAAACAAGAGTATGGCAAAGATAAATAAAATGAGATACGTGATGTGATTTTTGGACTCCAGGAGACTCAAAACTCTTTAGCTTAGTTTGAGACTCTGAGAGCTAAGACAAAGACTTCTATGGACCATCCATATTTATTATGTACAAAACAAAGGGTGGAGAAACAGAGGAAAGTGCAGGAAATGAGCAGGACCTTGGGAGTCACTTCAAAGACTTCTCCAAGTAGTAAATTATGCCAGTTTAGGAGAATCATCTTATCTCCAGAATGATATTTACAGTAAGAGTGTGACTGCAAGAGTGAGATTTCTGCAGCTTCAGCCTTTTTTTACTTAATTAGTGTTGGAGCTAAGGTGTCTTCAGCTGTGGCCTTATCTTGCCCTTTGCAGTATCTCTGGCCTCACAGGCCACTACAGGTCTCAGCCAGGACCAGTGATTTATAGAGGTTCACTTACTATGACTCAGCTCCTGTCACCATGCAAGAGGCCAAGGCCTAGGACAGGCAGACAAACATAGAAAGCCAATTAGTTAATTTTAAGTCCTGCTCAGAGATGCTTCATAGTGGTCTTCAACAATTACTTGTGAGATATGTTTTGGATAGTACAAAGAACTGGATAGTTAAGTGATCACTTGTACTGTTTATAATATTTAATAGAATTAGTATTGTAAGTACAAACAGGTTATTTCACTAATAGTTTAAATTAAGGTATACTAAGACCTTTCATATCAGAGGAAAAGCTACTATGTCACAGTGTAAAACTAAATTAAAGTACAAAAATCTCTCTCTTGTTTAAAAGACAGTTTAACAGGCTGTTAATTTTTTTTTTTTGAAACAAGGTCTCACTGTGTCATTCCTGCTGTCCTTGTACTCACTGTATAGCCTAGGATGTACTCCATCTTCTAGTGATCCACCTTCTTCAGCATTCCAAGTGCTAGGATTAAAGGAATATACCACCATGCACAGCTAAGATATTTAATTTGCCTGGCATTGCCTTGTGAAACTACTAGGTGTAATTTGTGTCCAAATTTTTGTCTAGTCTTAAAACACTGAAATGTATGACAATTCTAAATTAATATAGAAGGGGAAATTAAGATATTCATTTAAAGTAGTAAACATATATATGTACCTGCAAGATATAACAAGGAAAGATCAAATCTCCTTCCTGACAGTTCTTGTCCTAGAGACCCTAAAGACCTAATCATCCTGAGAATTTCATGATATTCTTGAACATCGTGAGTGTACCTATGAATAACTGGCAATTTTAATAAATTAGGGATTTCAAAGCCCTTAATATATCTTGACATATACAGTAGGTAGTTTCAGCCTTGAAAAAAGAAAGAAAAGCAGAAACTAAAGAAACTGTATCTAATAATAATTGGTATATGGAAAACAAATTATTGAAAAAGAAAAGCAATTCTAAATGCCTGACTGAGAAAAGGGGCGGAATGAGGCTATCGAAACAGCAATGAATAAGGAATTTATGTATTGACATTAAAAAGCAAGGGGTACTTTATAAACTAAAAATCAAGCCATCCACCTGTAGAAAAAGGGGATTCACTGAGTTTAAAACTATGAGTATTTAGAAGTTTTATTTAAGACAATCATTGTAAATATACGAAGCAATACGAGAATGAGAAGTTTCAACCAGCTAAGATATGCATTAAGTATATAATTTAATCTAAGCACTAAAAGTAGCAAGTCTGTTTTGCTTAAACCGTAAATAAGGAACTTTAAATATCAGTAGATTTTAGTTTTCAACATGAATACTTAAAACCACTAATGTTCACAGTTGAATGTCCTTTCAGGAGGCAGGGTCACTTCAAGGTTTGTGTCACTGGGGCCATCCCTTTGGATAATATATCACTTGCTATTGCACTTTCCAGCCCTCTCAACCTCTGCCACAGTGAGGTGAGCAAGATTTTATGCCATAATTTACTGTTTGGAGGCATCTGACCACAGTCTACAACGTTTGTCATTGTTCTATGTTTGTTTTGCAGGAAAAATTCATCGTACCCTAAGATGAATCTTCAGGTGCAAGTAATGGAGACAATTTATGAGTTTAAATCCCTGCATATATCGTACATGTAGAGTTGGTCTTCAGCAAAGAACTTTTAATTCTCAAGCAGTGACATTAGCTTTATCTAACCAATTAGAAGTCCAATCCATGCAAGGACTTGCAGTCAGGTACATTTGTAACTTTGAGGTGCAAAACCAAATAAAAAGTTGGATTGCTGTAAAATAGCATGATATTCTAAGGAATTCTGCATTGCTCATGCATGTAAAATTCAGTAGGCTACTAGATTAATGGTAATGTGATGTAAAGGGAAAAATAAATGTAGGCTCATTTGCAGGCCCTTTTATTGCACAGGTTTTGCTATAGAATTTGAATACGTATCATTTAGAAAAATCTTGATTTTTACATGAAGTTAAATATCAAGAGTCAGGGATGAGAAATCACACAGAAATAACAACTTTCATATTGCTGGGGCTGACAGATGACCCACAAATACAGGCTCTGGTTTTTACCTTTCTATTTCTCACTTACATTTGGAGCATAATTGGGAACCTGACTATAATTACCCTCACACTGGTGGATCTCCATCTTAAAACCCCTATGTACTTTTTCCTGAGAAATTTTTCTTTCTTAGAAATTTTATTTACCTCTGTCTGTATTCCTAGGTTCCTATACAGTTTATCAACTGGGGACAATACTATCACGTATATTGCTTGTATATGTCAAATGTTCTTTTTTATCCTCTTTGGAGCAGTAGAATTTTTTCTCCTGGCAGCCATGTCCTATGATCGTTATGTGGCCATCTGTAAACCTCTTCACTACATGACCATCATGAACACTAGAGTGTGTATCTTATTAGTCCTCTCTTGTTGGGGATGTGTCTTGGTGATTACAGTCCCACCCCTTGGTTTGATCCTCAAGCTAGAATTCTGTGATTCAAATGCCATTGATCATTTTAGCTGTGATGCAAGTCCCTTCCTAAAGATCTCATGTTCAGATACATGGGTGATAGAGCAGATAGTTATACTTGGAGCAGTACTTGTACTGCTTATGACCCTAGTCTGTGTGATTCTGTCCTACACACAGATCATCAGGACAGTTCTGAGATTTCCCTCTGTACAGCAAAGGAAAAAGGCCTTTTCCACTTGCTCATCCCACATGATTGTGGTTTCGATAGCCTATGGAAGCTGCATCTTCATCTATCTCAAGCCATCAGCAAAGGAGGAGGTGGCCATAAACAAAGGAGTTTCTATTCTTTCAACTTCTGTTGCACCCTTGTTAAGTCCCTTCATTTACACCTTGAGGAACAAGCAAGTGAAACAAGCATTCAATGACATTATGAAAAGGATTAAATTTCTCTCCCAAAAATCTGAATGAATAAAATGAAAATGAAAGATAATTTACAATACATTTTACCAGTTTCTAACATTTCATTCTCCTTCCTACAATATCAGATTATATTATTGTCTCATAGATATTTCAAATTTCATCTTAGTCTCACTTTCATCAGTCACTTTATTCTTTTACGTGAAATACATATATAGTTCAAGCTAGACACTATATATGAATTTTAATACAGTACTTGATTTTCTATATCATGCTCATTGTATTCCATGTGTGTCCAAATAAAGTGCTTTTATTCTGACATCATTATTTTTGATGTTTTTGTTTCATTTTTCAATTCCTAAATATGCTCAAGAAATTCAATCACCTCTGTCCTATCACAACCCCCTACAAATTCCTTTTTCTTAACCTACAGTTTCAATGATAACAGCTTCCTCTTTTGAAAGGTAACTGAGTTTCATTGTTCATAAGATCTTTTTGCTCTGTTCTCTATTGTTTAGTAATAAATATATTGAATATCTAGCGTTCTGAATTTAAATGTCATGAATTCTTTCTTTTTTCTTATGCTGGGAAGAGATAAGTAAGATAATATAAACATGGAAAGAAATTGAAAGAGGGAAATGTCATCTATTTTTTCTAATTTTAAGACTATGGCACCCTTCTTCTGGGTTTTAAGATTGATTACAGTTCACTTTTCTCATTACAAGCAGCAAACCCTAAAATCATATTCAAAGATGAGGGAAAAGCATAAAACAGTAGTTCATTATATATTAAGTCATTTTAGAAATAGCTAATCACTTTGTGAAAACTCACAAATTCTTATAACTTGTTCCTAATCATAATCCACACAAAAAAAGCAGGTATAAGTTTAAACATGTAAACAATACAGGTAATGGGAGAAAATACAACCAAATATATATAAACTCTAGTTCAGTAGAAATGTTGTAAGAGTGCTAGTAAACTAAAATTATAATAGAAGCATGTATTTATGACATATTAACCAATTTTTCTAAATACTGATACTGATATAGGGGAGTGAAACTTCTAATCTACTATATGTCTGGTATGAACTCATGTTCCCTAAAATCAAAGAATGAATTTTAGGAACAATGGAGATTAAGAGCAGAATATATTTATTGAGAGAAAGACAGCGTGTGTCTGAGAGAAAAGCAGTAGGGGTCTCAAGGGAGTTGCCAAAGACTTGTGTTTTCCAAGGTGAGGAAAATTTGGAACTCTCAAGGTGGGCATAATGTGGGACAGAACTATGGTTAACCAGCAGGTAAAATTGATTAAGTTTGGACCAAATGGTGAAGTGAGTCAGTAGTAAGCAGGCATGCTTAACAGCATTGACTCTTCCTATTGTAGGTTGGGATGGTGACTACCGAATTCCTCAGAGGAATAGAGAACTGTTTAGAATATCAAAATTTAGGATATGGGTACATTTCTTTGATCTTTTGTCTGAGGCCTGGCCCACAGCAAGAAGTGTCTGTCTTCCTCATAGTTGCAAGGTATCTGGGCTACTGCACTGCTCCTTTAGCTCTGTCTTACTGCCTATAGTATCTGTCATGATTTATGTTGTAGGCCCCCAGGCCTCATGCATTTACATTATGCATCTGTGATTGGTTCATTGTATGGTGCTTGGATTGATGGTGTCAGTGCTACACCCATGTAGGGGTGGAGCCAGGATGTGATGTAATGGCAGGAAGAAGGTGTGTCTTGTTCTTTCTTGCTGATTTCTGCCTTGCTGTTTGCAGCCACCATGAACTGTGGCCCCGCCATGCCACCCTGCATTGGAGCCAACTGAGTAGGGACTGAAACCTCCAAAATCTGTAAGAAATACATCTTTCCTTTCCCAACTTTAATCATCAGATATTTTGTCTCAGTGTCGAGTAAAAAGTAACTAAGACAGTATCTCTACCTAATTCAGCTGCCTGGAACAATACCATCAAAATTAATACTAAATATCATATTGTGATATAGAAGTTCTAGTGTAGAAGATAGAAAACTAGAGGTATTAGGAGACACAAATATCTCTATATACTAAATATCATGTTGTGGTATAGAATTCCTAGTATAGAATACTAAGAATTAGAGATATTGGAAGATACAAATATCTCTAGGTAATATATATTTTCTTTCCAAGTAGAAAATAAAAATTCCACTATATCTTTACCTCAACACAGTAAAGTTACTTTTTTATTAGATAAAAAATAATTAGCAATAAATTTGAGAAAATTTTCTATTGCTAATTTTCATTAAAAATAAAAAGATGAATAAAAAGTAAATGCAATTTAGATCATCATTTTGGGGAGTGATTTATTATGTTAGTAAAGCTTCTTTACCTTAATACTGTAAATGAATATGCCTTTGCTCAAAATGATTAGTTTCTTTGACACATAAATTGCCACTTTACTTTCATTGATAATTTTGAAGAAAGAAAGAAAGAAAGAAAGAAAGAAAGAAAGAAAGAAAGAAAGAAAGAAAGAAAGAAAGAAAGAAAGAAAGAAAGAAAGAAAGAAAGAAAGAAAGTTAGTTTATATTTTCACTAGTTATTTTATAACAGTCATTTAAATTAGGTCAGATATCTTACTGGAATTTTGTTTTACATTTTCCTGATGAGAGGTCTGTGGGAATTTCCTCTGGTAATCTCTATTCTTGCTATATGTGCTTTCTTTCTGTTGATGGTTTGTTTTGTCAGCTTGACTAGAAAGTTATGAGTTTTTATGGCTTGTATCTAGGTGTCCTCTCAAATCCTCATGCAGCCTTGGGAAGTGCTTTTTGGAGTTGGCTGAATCTAGTGTTTGTAATTGATTCCTTGTCTAGTGCTGTGATTATAGCTGTGAGTCCTGCACCCACTGAAGGTTAGGTAACCTACATTCAATATAAGGGACAGAAAAGATCTTTTCTGGAACTATTCCCTTAGTGCTCTTGTTGCTTTTGTTGCCTTCTGCCACTAAGAACTGTTGCCCCTGTGCCATGCCACACTGCCATGGAGCCAGTCTCCACAAACCATGAACTAAGTAAACCTTTCATCATTTTGCACATGAATAATTTTGTCTCAGCAGTTAGAAAAATGTGGTTGAGACAGAAATTGTTACTTGGAGAATGGGGTCATTGCTGTGATATTGCCTGGTCCTGTGGTTTAATACTCTTGGGAATTCATTTAAAAAGGTTACGAGAGGCAGCCTCTGTATGCTATAAATTCTTTTGGAGACCCTGGTCAGAGAGTAGAAAGTCAGTGCACTGATGGAAATGCTGTAAGTTAATATCAAGCTTGGAAGACTATTACTGGAGACTACATCACCTGCTGGATCCCAGGTAGCACATTATGCTTGGTAGAAAGTTGGTCTGTATTTTGATTGTGTTAGTAGATATTATCCACATGGCAGAAAAATTCAAGGCAATCTACTGTTGGGATGGTGGCAATTTATTGTTGAGAGCTTTTGGCCAGATCTGTATTTGAAATTAAGAGTGAAGAGCCAGTAAGGTGATTTGAGCATTTAGCTAGAGGGACAACTCAATGGAGCTTTAGTTTCAAGGACAAAACAGGAGAACATGGTTGTTGTGAAGAAAAAAGATAATGGAAAAATGAATGGAAGCCTTTCACCTAACGGGAAAGAGTGTATTTGAATTGCTGGAGATCTGTTTTTCAGTCTTGCCATGCCTTATTATTAAAACATAAAGGGAAGCAGGGGTTGTGGTTGCTTAAATGTGATTTTAGTGTAGCTTTCAAATATATGCTTCTAATCAGCTAGTCAAAATTATAAGGTTTTAACGTTGAGTTTTTAGCATCCTTTGAATATTTTGCTTTTACTGCAGAAATGAATGTATCATGTAATTATTATATTACTGTAAACCTGAATGGTCATGTTAACTTTTCACAAATCTGCCACTGGAGATTATGGTTTAAGGAAATGTTAACCAGTGGCGGGTTGTGGTAGGTTGACAACTGATGGCCAGTCTGTAACACCCAGTTAAACAGCATCAGCATGGTGCTGGGTGAGGAGAGCCCACCTGAGGACTGTTGCCAACAACATAAAAAGAACTAAAAAGGAAGAAGTGGTTCTCCTACAGGAGCTTTTCGTGCTGGCTCTCCTGACATGAGCTAAGCTGTTATTGGAGGAGCTCAGTACCTTGTTCTCATTGAGAATGGTTGCATTTCACTTTGGGGTGCTCTAAGCATCACTTCCTGGGTCTTGAGGGGAAGATGGTGCCTTGTTCAGTCTCCTGGAGGAGTTTGTCATGCTGGTTTTCCTGACATAAACTTAGATGTTCTCATTGTCTGAGGATCTCAGGACCTTGTAGTCACTGAGGATGATTGTAGTACTTTATGAGAAAGCTCTTGTCATTTTGAGTGTTGCTTCCAGGCTCCAGTACAAATCAGAAAGCATACTGGCACAGATCCTTCATCCCACTTGCACAGACTTTGTAGCTTCTACTGCTAACCTTTGGGCCTTTTCAGTGCATATCCATGAAACAGACTTGCATGAGACACTGTTGTGGGTTCTAGGCCTCCAGCTGGACTCACAGGAGGCCTTTTCATGGGCTTTAGGTCTTTAGCTGGACTAATGCAGGACACTGCCATAGAATACAGACCCCAGCTGGATTCTTTGAGTCTTTGGTGTGTGGACAGATTCCCTGTACTCTCTTTTTTGCTTCATTCTTTGGGTGACTATAATAAAATAAACTTATAAATTGTATGCCCTGTATTAAATTGTTTCCATTTCAAACCCTGAATGCAACACTAGTGTTATTGATCATCTTAACAAATCAGTTTCATTTATTTCACTTCTCTTTCCCGACACGTTTCCAATTTTATCTCTCTCTAGTCCTTATCTCTGATTCCTTTGTTATGCTTGCTTTATTTCAGCCTTTTTAACAGAATTAAAGTTAATTAATTCTTAATTAATTATGCATTTTTTATTTATATATGTATTTGCAGCTTTAATATTTATATTACTCGTAATGAGTTGGTATCTGTACAAAACTCAATGTAATTCTTTTCTTTCTCTTCTCACCTCAATTCATACCAT